GGCCTGCCGCCGCGCAGCGGCCCCAGCGAGGCCGCCCGACCCCACTCCCGGGGGTGGGCGTTCGGCCTTAACAATTGACGAAGGTTCAACTGGTGGTTATACAACATTATGTGCATTAACAATATATGATTTTTGTTTTTTTCAGCTGATGCATCATCACATTATGGTATTATTGATCTTGAATTACTTGCACATGATATACATAAATTTGAATCACTTTATTTAGATTGATTAATTGAAGAACATTCAGCTAAAAAAGATATTTATTATCAACGTTCACCAATAAATCATGTTAAGAATTTATCAAAACTAATTAGTGTTTTTTTTTCATGGTATAGAAGATAAAATTGATTGTTTTACTAAGTCAAGCTAAATTAATGATGAATACATTATGTGAAAAACATTTACCAGTGGCATATGTTTTAACAACATGGTTTTCGTAAAGCAAAGAATATTCAAAAAAGTTTAGATAGAGAGAGTTTTATTTTAATTTTAATTTTTTTAAATATTTCCTTTTCAAATGGCTGATCACATTGAATCTATTGCGATTGAAAATTTATCTGATTATCGAGCTTATCTTTTTTTTAAGATTTTTTTTAATTTTTACATTTTTATCAAAATAAAAACATGTCGAGGTAAACGAGAATTAATTTATATAAATTCGATTTTTATTTTTCTTTATTAATAAAGTGATAATGAAAATCAAAAATCACCTAATCGTTTACGTTCACATTCACGTTCAAGAAGTCCAATTCGTCTTTCACCATCACATAATAATCAACAGTTATCAACACCAAGAGATTATCATCGATCGACATCGAGAAATAATAATGAGCATGATTTTCATGATAGAAAAAATAATCATTATCGATCAAGTTATTCAAATCCTAATAACACAAATGATCATCGGAATACCGATTGTGATCAATTTAATCAAACAGTTAATTTATATTCAGATCGAGAACTTGGATTAAAATATCGGTAGAAAATTTATTTCAAATTTTTATTTTGTTTATCTCTAGAGATTTTTTGTTTTGTTTTTGTAGATGGGAAAAAACAGTTCATGTTTCAAATATTCCTTATGATATGAAATGGACTGCATTAAAAGATTTATTTCGTAGTGAAGGTTTGACTGATTTGAAGAAAAAAAAAATATTTTGTTTTTTGGATTTTTTGTTTTTTATAGTTGGTTCAGTTATGTATATTGAAGTATTCGAACGAGATGGAAAATCACTTGGTTGTGGGTAAGATTAAATGAAGATATAAAGTTTAAAAATAGTAGAACTTTGTTTGATTTAGATCTGTCGAATTTCGAACTGTTGAAGAAGCAAAACATGCTGTAGAAAAAATGCATCAATTTGAATATGATGGGCGAAAATTAGCGGTTAAATTAGTAAGAAAAATATTTCTATGAAAAAAGATTATTTTTGTTATTATATCTAGGATGAAGAATGTTATCAAACACGTCAAGCTAAATATCAAACAGTTGAAGGACGTCTATTTCAAAAGAATAACATGCTTCATCATCATTATACTCTATCAAATCAATTTGGTAATACAAGTGAAAATACCAATAGCATATCTCGCTCATCTCAAATAACAGATCTTGATTGTATTGGTACATCACATTCGAATTATTCATCTATTGCTGATATTCCATCACATGTCTTAAAAAGATTAGGTATTAAAGAACCTATTTCGAATAAACAAAAATTTGTTTATAGCTTCAAACCTTATCAGAGATTTTTAACATAGATATCGAGAAGACCAAACGGTACAGATTAGTGAAATAGCTTCTTTCAAATTTGCAAAGTCATTTGATTGTATATAACGAAGTATTGATCAACATAACTAATCCAGATAAAGAAACTAATGATTAGTCATAAATCGAAGAACGAAAAGAACCGATCAACATTTTGTTTCATCAATATAGAATGATCGAGATGTTCACTTTTTCATATACATGTGAATGATTGATATATTTCTTTTAGACTCTATTGAATTTACGAATATGAATATGAATACAGCTAAACGAAAATTAAATTCTAATAAACGAATAAAAAATTTTCAATGTGATCAAAAAAGGTAAGTGACATAAAAATAAGTCTAATGTCTCTCTATTATATTTCTATATAGATCATCAATAACCACACTTGACAATGTATCGAATGAATTATTTTATGAAATATTTGATTATTTGGATGGTTATCAAATTTATGAATCATTTTCAAATCTTAATTATCGATTTTACCAACTGCTTAATTCTTCATGTCTTCTATTCAAAATGATAGATTATTTTACAATTAAAGATGATTGCTTTATGAATAATTGGAACGAAATTATATCATACAACAGTAAACAAATATTTTCTCTTACATTCTATACATCATCACGTATCAAACAATTTTTCTCATCATCAATTATTGAATCATCATCTCTCATTAATCTTCAAGCACTTTTCCTTCACAATGTACAATTAGATATACTTATGTCAGATCTTATCAAACTATCATCTTTACCACGGCTTAAATCATTAACTATCAACATGTTCGATATATCAATTGATTTAGCTAATATTTATCAATTAGTATTCAAGTTGTCAATATTAACATATTACAAATTGTCAATAGGTGCTACAAATTTATTTATATCATTACCAATTGCTACAAATCAACAACAACAAAGTGCAATTGAATCGCTTATTATTGATCATCGATGTTCATTTGATGAACTTTCTGCTATTATTTCTTTTACATGGCAACTACGTCTTTTAAAATTAACACATGGTTTTAATGATCCTTTAAATAAAGTATTAATTCCATCGATAATGTTAGAATATTTAACCTATCTTTCATTAGATATTTATGGTGTAGAATTTGATGATTTTAAAACATTTATTCGAAAAATTAATTCGAAATTAAAAACATTAAATGTAATTATTCAATGTGAGGATATGACGTATCTTGATGCTTATCAATGGGAACAATTACTTTTACATTGCTATCCTCAATTGGAAAAATTCTATTTCACATATTATGATCGTATGGATAATAATAATCATCAATATCAAATATATTCTTGCGGATTAAATCCATTTTCTACATTGTTTTGGATTCAACGAAAATGGATATTTAAAGCACAAATTGAAGGAACATACATAAAATATGTGATTTATCCTTACAGGTAGATGGATCAATATTTTCTCTACAAAATCAATTGTTTTATTTCTTTTAGCAAAACTTGGTATGATTATTTTCAAGATAAAAATATTGAATATTAAACATCAACTGGTTTAATAGTGGCAAATGATCTTAATCTTTTATTTGTTAAAATATTAGTCGAAAAAACCAAACGTGTTTTAACCATTACACAAATCTATCATTTGATTATTATTGAAAAACATGCATCAAGTTGTGTATTAATTCAATTGATAGATCTATTACCAGATTTAATTTCGTTGAAAATTCATTCATTATCTTTAGAACAAACAAATGATTTAGATAATATAGGACTTTATAGTGTTCATGTACGCAATCAACGTCAAATTACTGCAATTTATCTTGAAGAAATCAATGATATTGATGATTTTTATTTTATTTTGGTCGTTTGTCCTCATATGAAATATTTTAAAGTGGAACGTTTAAATAATATGAATATTCATTTTGTTTTACGTAGAATTCTGAAGGGCATTAAAAATCATCATACTGATTCTATTCGTTCATTATGTTTTAATGTACCAGCAGCCGATGATCGAACAATTGAAGATTTACAAGAAATGATTATAAAAGAACAATTACTTATTCAATTTACAATTAGACGTCTTGTTGATAGTATTTATTTACAATGGACATAATTATAGAGATATTCTTTTTTTTTTTTACAAATATTTTTTTTTTTTGTATATGTATACCTGATAAATTAATAAATAAATTTTGACATAAATGTTGGAAAAGTTTAGATTTAATAGATGATCTCATGTTGTGTCCAAGATTTTAATTATTGTCGATTAGTCTTTCTCATGTCATTTTATAATATTCATAGATTGAAGCTCAGATCAATAAAATAGTTTTTTTTACAATTAATACAATAATCAAATCGGTTTTTTTACTCACAATGTAGAGAATCATTTAATAACAAATCTTTCTTTTTCTTTTTCCTTTCCAACAAAGTCCTAAGACGATGTTGATTGACATGTTTGATACGATAAGATGAGATATATTTCATCATTCTCATTTCCGTTTACTTATCACACACAATACATGGCAACAACAGCTGGTAAAAGTGAATGTATAACTTATAAAAAAAAGAAAGCGTTGTTTATACGTAAATGTGAAGGTCGTTCATGAAATTTTTATATGAATCATTTATCAAATCATCATCGAGAAGTTGGGAAACAATTAGATGAAATTGAAAATAAAAAAAAAATCTTTTTCAACAAAATTTAATTGAACAAAAAATAAAACCAGAAAATCAATTTGTAATCAAACGAATTAATCAATGGGAAAAAGATTCAATAAAAATGTTGAAGAAGCAAGAGAAATAGTAATGAAACTTACGTATAGATATATTAATAAAATAGAAATAAAAGTAGAACAATTAACACATTCGACCCGATGGGCTCCACCAATGGGACCTGCCAGGTTTTAACAAAAAATGGCTAGGAAAACACTTTCTTCTCCTTTTTCTTCGGGTAGAAGGATACGTGTGTTATATCGTCTACTCTTGTCGCTATTGTTTGAAATATTTATTGGATGGGATGACGTTACGTTACTCGTTGGAACAACCACGACAATAAAATTTGTCATTATCAAAACGGAAGTCTTTTATTTTCTTTGCTGTCGCATTATTTGCTTCTCTCTACAAGCTCGAAGAAAAGGAGGGCTGAAGCGCCATGTTCTAAGACGCTGTGCTGATTGCTGCAAGAAAATCAGACAACAACAATCAAGAAAAGAGAGTAATGCGGTAGCAAAGAAAATAAAACCTTCTGTTCTGATGATGATAAATTTTATTGTCTTGGTTGTTTCAACGGGAAACACTATTCTCTGCAATGAATAATTCAAAAAATAGCGAAGAGAGCAGACGATATAACACACGTATCCTTCTACCCAAAGGAAAATGAAAAGGAAAAGAAAGTGTTTTTCTAGTCATTTTCTGTTAAAACATGGTGGGTCCCACAGGTGGAACCCATCTAGTCGGATGTGTTAAAATTACATATAAGTATTCTATTATAATCATATACAATCTATGTGCAAATAGCATGAATAATATCTGAGAACCTTTTTATTATTCAATGCACAAGAAAAAACAAAGAAACTCTCTGAAAATAACATCGGAAATAATTGATAGTCATCATTGGATTTTTATTTTATTTTTTCTATAAACAATTACATAAATATTGCACAATATAACAGATGAAAAAAAAGAATATTGAATTTTTTCTAGTAATTCCTATCAAATGATTTTAAAATTATTGTGTATAATTGACATTCAAATTTATTGAATATTTTCAATCAAAAAATTCAGTGTTCAATTTTTTTTCGGCTAATATATTTCATTGAATAATTAATTATCAATTTTAATGATTCTTTATTATTAAATACGAAATAGACGATATTTTCTGTTTAAAAAGAAACGGATTAGTTTATTTATAGATTAGCTAAGAGTTTCTTCTCTAATCAATTAAATTATTAAAAGATTGGCATATTTCAAATAAATATTTTTTTTATACAAAAAACATTGATGAGTATGAAGTAATGGAAGAACTTATTGATGAATATTTATTGTGATTGCTTTATGTAATCGATCATTTAAAATACATGAATTATCAACTAGTTCAATCGAAAAGATATAAAATGGAACTCTTTAATCAAAATTTGGGATTATTTTCTTATAAATTTTAAGAAAAAAAATTAGAAGGAAGTTAGTTGGCATTTCAATAGAGGTGGTATGGTCTTTTTCCTGTTGAAATATGTTTTGCTCTATGAATATTTAACGTGAACATTGTTACTTGATGCCTAAAATGCATTACTCACAGTTAAATCTAATTCAATATAGCGTGTGACAACCATCATGTGAAAGAAAAAAAAAACATTTTCGTACACTCAAAATCCAGCTCATATTGAGATATCTTTTTTTAAAACAATATAGAATATTTCGTTTAGTTCAGGAAAGCTTTAGTTTCAAACAAGGTCTTACTATAAGTAGTCTTAAAGGATGTGTGTGAACATAATACTGACCTATCCATATGCACACATTCATCTATAGATCTATGTCTATTTAAAAGAACTATTGGAATAATTCTTTCTGACAAGACTTGCTTCATGAGAATTTATTTTTTTTAATATCCTAAATCAATCATGAGTTTAAATCAATGTACCAATTAATTCGAATTTCATCTTTGACTGCTTCATCATTTTGATATGCTTTTCTATCAATATCACCCAGTCTAGCTCCCATAGCTGCATAGAATCGACAAGCGGATACATTTGTATTTTGTGTTTCAATACTCATGCATGTTGTTACTCCTTGTTGTTTACTCCATTGAATAGCATGTTTTAACAAAGCTCGTCCAATTCCTAAACGTCGATATGAAGGTGCGACACGTAAATCCCATAATGCACATTCAGGCATAGCTACAAGAGCTCCACCTACAGGCTTGTCATTTTGAGTTTCATCAAGAGCAAGAAAGATTCCCCAGTTCGTTGTATTCATATTGGACCATGAATGAGATAAATTTGAGTTAAGTTGATCATAATCTTTTACATATGATGTAAGAAGAGGTCGTTCAATAAGTACGATTTGTTCTTTATCATCAATGACTTCATAAATAGAATGAACTTCAAATGATATTGGTATCTGATCGAATTCAGAAAGACGTGAATTGTCAACTTGAACTATGCGAAATGTCATTATATCTATGTAATAAAGACAAGTAATCCACACAATGCAATTTACAAATATAAAAACGACATAACATATTTTATTTGATTAGACCATTTACTCGGTCAAGATAAGTGAGCCTCAACCTCAATCGCTACTTGCAACGTGACCAACGTAGAAGGTAGTGCTTGAGGATGAGGCTCACTTGTCTTGACCATTTACTCAATGTATTCATAACTTCTTCGTTATTTAGTTGGTTTTTTATATTGTCCAATGAAAAAAATATAACATAAATCATAATGAATTCAAGCTAAGCCATATTTAGCTTGTTCGAATGTAATTTCTTTCCGTTAGTCTTGGTTTTGACAATGATCAAATTTATTGAAATAAAATTGTATATGAAAAATATTTTCCACCCATTATTCTTTCATTCAATCGATATTCAAAAACACGAAATAGACTCGTAGATTATATGAATATGTCTATCATATTGATCATTCATAAACAATAAACGATCAATTGTTTATTATGAAAAGCAAAAAAGTTCTTATAACATATAATTTGTTAATAAGTAACATCAAATTTTTCACTAAACATTATCGTTGTTTAAATAATAACAAAGAACAGAAAAAAAATATCTGAACGAGAAATGAATATTTCAAAAATATCAATGAACAAAATATATCACATCTATAATCTGACTAGAAACAATCTTAATGGCAACAAGTTCATAAAGTTTCAAAAAAAAGAAAAAAATGCATAATTTCAACGATCTCGTTGTATGTTAATCACACATCAATTGATTGAGTTTGAAAGCAAGAGTGTGTGTATTCATACGTATATCAGAATCTGTTATCCAACATGCATCAATTAATGAACATAGTTCGCGAATAATCTATGCAAAGAAAAAGAAAACAGTTCGACTATAGCAAGTATTATATAAAACAAAACAGAACACAAACTAGTGCGCTCTCTTCTCTCTTAAACAAATGAATTATCATTTACGTTTGCTTTATTTATTATATATCTTCATATCACAATATACGAGCGCTCAACATAGTGGTGACTTCTTTCATTGAAACGATGATTGGCGAATAGAATAATCATTTGTTGTTCAATGAACACAATAAGCGAGGGAGAACGATTGGAATATATAAATAAATAGATGGTATACTATCCTATTCTGTCATGTTTGTTTTATCTAGGCATGTCATTTGTTATTTCTTTCGATTTTCGTCAATAAATTGACAATCATGATATTAGCTGACAACATGGAACAATTTGAATATTGATGTTATAATAGTATTTCAAATTGGCTAAATGTTCACTTATTCGATACAATTTTTCTATTGATTTGGCTTGCGATCATTATTCTATTTACATGTCCAGATCAATTATTGATGTTTGTGTGTCCTTATGAATATAATGAGTACTTTAATCAAGGATTAGCAGATACTCGTGTTCGTCGTTTCCTTTTATTTATTATTTTCGAACTCGTATTGATGTCCACTTACATATATTGTGCTTTAGTTTTGAGATGGGTATCTAATATTGGTCCAATCACACCAATGGTATTTAATCGTTGGACAATAGAGGCATGCTATGGCCCAATAATAATTGAGATTCTTGTGTATTTTATCTACAGATATCCTTTTATTGAACAATCATCAGACATTATCAATGAATCATTCCATGTTCATATATATGTGAAAATGCAGTAATAATGAAACTTCTTTTATTTCTTTTATTTCAAAAAGTAGAATTTTCGACCATTGACTGTTAGTAACAAGCTGGAATATGCGGTCATCATCAGTACTAT